AAAGTAATTTATTAATTATTTCTATAGTAACTTGGGTAGTAATATTTATATGTTTTATATTTAAAAAATAAAAATATACATAGATTTGATACGTGTTATGTTTTAAGTTACTTCATAATATTACGGTAACTTAAGTATTATTGGATAATCCATTAATAAATAATGGAATGTGTATAATTTATTTATTTAATAAACATATACATAAATTATATACGTAACATATTTTACTTACCTTTTTAATATATATATATATATATATATATATATATATATAAAAGAAAGTAATTTATTAATTACTTTTATGGTAATTTGGGTAGTAATATTTAATCTGATGTATATGTTTATTTAAATAATAAAAATATACATATATTTGATACGTGTTATGTTTTAAGTTACTTCATAATATTATGGTAACTTAAATATTATGGGATAATCCATTAATAAATAATGGAATGTGTATAATTTATTTATTTAATAAACATATACATAAATTATATACGTAACATATTTTGCTTACCTTTTTAATATTTTTATTTTCATTTTTTTTTTAGTTGACTTGGATTGGGAAAAGGGGTAGGGTTATTTTATTTAGCCTATAAATATATAGCTATAGGTTGTAAAAAGGGGTCAGAAATATTCACGTGATATATACTAGAGAGATAGTGTTAGAGAGGGAAGAAGGAAAAGGAAGGAATGAGGAGAAAAATCCTGTAGAGAGAAGATCAAGGAAGAAGAAGTTTAACTTTCGATCCGAAAGTTTAAGGCAAGTTTTTCTTCTATCTCTTTCCCTTTGATTCGTGTTTCTGTACATGCTTAGGAAATTCCAGGATTTATTAAACACATAAAATTAAATAATTATGCATGTTTAATTGGGTTAGAACATAGGTTTTATGAAATTGGTTCATATCTGTTCTTGTGTTATGAATTGATAAAATGCATGATTTTGATTTGATTTCTTATGTGAATTTTTACATGTTTAAATTATGTATTTTTCATATATGTGGAATGATGGAACGTAGAAACATGCCTAGGATTCCTGAACATTAAATAGGGACTAGGTTTGGGTTTTAATAAATTTAAATAGACTCAATCATAATGATGCTTGCTATTTGAATGTTTTAAACAAACGAATGGATTTAATCTTTTAAAATATTTTAGCAATTGAGATTAAATGTGTAGGATGAATTGGATATAGAGAATTTTTATTTAACGGTATAATAAAATATCATCATGTATAAGATTCAATTTGTGTAGGACCTATGATATAGGAAGTTTAAAGAAATAATAAGTCATTCCTATTATGTGATAACTTGATATCATATTTATCATAGTTATTTATGGAATGTTTGATGTATTTCCTTAATTGTTATATCAATTGTTGGATTATGTGGTTTAATGCACCGGTATGAGACGGTAGCATTCTAGGGATTGATTAACTTATCAGTTAAGTCCTACCTATTTTATATAAGGGAATGGATTAACTAAAATGTTAAGTCCTACTTATATTTAAGTCAGGTCAGCTGAACAAGTTGAATGACTTATGGAGAATTAATTTATTATATGTGGGAATGGATTAACTAAAACGTTAAGTCATACTTATATTCAAGTCAGGTCAGCTGAACAAGTTGAATGACTTATGGAGGATTAATTTATACTGGATAGGATGGTTACTAGATTTTATATAAATAAGTATGGTGCTATGATATGAGCTTGAGTCTCAGGATCAATGGTTAGGGCGCGTATATCGCCAGGGATGTATAGCTAGATATAGTGTAGTTGTGTACCCTGGTAGGTCTAGGTACTTATGCCCACTATATGTGCGTTTTGCATGTTGTCCACTATTCAGGTTGAGACAACCCTATAGTCTAGTGAGGTTATTTTAGTGTATGTATATATATATATACGGACTACTAGTTACTGTTGGATTGACTAGGATGTATACGTGTATCGGATCTCTGCTTGGACTGTAGTAGAGTAGAACTTGTTTGTGGGCCTGATCCACAATTATTTTTCAGGTGTTCGTCACGAGTAGAGGTTGTTCGTGCTGAGCGGGGATCAGTCTACTTCATTCTTCTGATGCTACATAGGAGTTCCTTTATGATTCAGTTTCCTGTTTTAGATTACTGTCATTTGTTTAGTTTAGATTTCTAGGGGTCCACACAGTATGGATTCCCAAGTTATATTTTGGAAGATCAATTGTATCAGAAGAGTTTATTAATTAATGGAAATATATTATAAGGTTTATTATTAGATTATCATTTTAGTTTCTTGTCAGCATTTTATTTATTCTTCTTTATTCTTTTGTACTCTGTGTTCGTTTATTATCAATTTGTTTTGATATCCTCGGGTATTCGGGCGTGGGCCTGGCCAACCCGCATTCGAAAATTCGGGGGTATCACAGTGCATAAGAGCTTGAAAGGTTTCTAGGTGATCAAGGGGATCTTTGGTCCCATTTAAGCTTTCGAACGAGGGCATCCTGAACTTGCTAAGCAGTGGACATTTCATAACGATAGGGCTGAACGACAAGTTGGTCCTTTGTACCAGGTCATCTATGGCGGCAAGACCTTTCCCTTTCATAGCCTGCATTACATCTTCTTTTTTCCCCTTGAGATCCTCGATCTGCAGGTTGAAATAGGTAACTTTCTTTGTCTTTTCCTTAAGATAGAAAGCGGTGTCTTCATGAGGTCGGGAACTCCGTGGGAGAGATGGGTGGACCACCTCTCTATGTTGGTTTCCGACCTGGCTTTGTTCCACTTTGGTCTCATTTTGGGGAGGATGATTATCCTGCTCTTCAAGATTCACATTACCTCCGTTTGGATTTGAGAGATCTTGTCGTGGCAAGCTTTGTTGAACCGGTGGAATAAGATGTTGTAGGAGCGCTGCATTTTGCTGGATCAACAGGTCCATACCCTGACTCAAAGTTTGGACCTGTTGTTCCAACGCTGCAAGCCGTTCCTAGTCATTTGGGACGTCTAGGTTCTCACCTGACTCTTCCCATTGACCAGATCCCTGCAACGGTATTCCTTCTGTAACCATACCGGACCGCAAACGCATATACCCAACTGAACAATATATAAGGAAATCGTAGTTTCCCACAGACGGCGCCAACTGTTGAGGGTGAAATCCACGCGGTCCGATATGACACCGTTTTCTGCAAGGAAGAGATGAGAAGATTGATAAACCTTGATGGTACCGGTGTGGTGCCTGTCAAGAGCTTTCCGACGATCAAGTTAGTCACCGGAAGTCTAAAAAGAAGGCAGGGATTTAATAATAGTTTTTTCGTCATACCTTATTCCCGAATCGTCTTCCTATTTATCATCACTTCCTTTATTCTTGATAAGGGAATATCATAATCCTTATCCCATGGAACTTATCCTATGGAAATCTTATCCTGGATAAGATTTGTGATTATCCTATGGAATTTATCCAATGGAAACCGTTATCCTTAATAACGAAATATTTTCTTTCGAAAGTAGAAGAGATTTGACGGCTGGTGAACACTTAGTTGCCTCTATCGTTAGGCCAAGATAGGTTATGTTTATTTTTTCCTATCAATAGCCTTGTAAATAACGTTAGGAATCAAAGTTCCCGACCTCACTTTCTTTAAAATATATATATATATATATATATATATATATATATATATATATATATATACTCTTTTTGATATTTTATTAGCCTCATTTCCTAACTTATATGACTTTAGGATAGAAATTATAAATGCATTACGCAAATATATAAATGAATATTTATAGTTATATTTATATTAGTCTTGTCCATGCCGTGTTCGTGTGCTACCTTTTTAGATTTTGACATGCTAACTTAACCATGTCATATTGCGACTGATATTAGAATGCTCCTTAAACAATCCCTAGGAAATGCTTTGTACAGTCCCCATAACACACTATTTTCTTCCCTTCATACCTTTTTATTTTTCATTCCCATTTACTTCTAACCTTAAACTAGATTTCCAAATGAATTGAGCTAAGTCGAGCTTGAGTTTATTCGGGCTCGATTTGTTTGTTTGTGGGCTCAGTTTGAAATCGCAACGAGCTTAAAAAGTTAAGGTCGGGCTCAACTTGTTTAATAACAAATATCATTCGGACTCGATTTGAACTTGTGTTCAAGATCATTTGACTTATTTACGAATATAAATAAATTTATATAAGTCTATATTTATAGAGTCTATACTCATAAACAAAAACATGTTCATGAACTTTATACACGTTTGAGTTTATAAACATGTTTATCAGCTTATGTTCATGAATACGTAGTATATTTTAGCCTACACGAGTTTATATTCACAAGTTGAACTCAATATTATTCGGACTGACTCATGTACTATTCAAAGCAAAAAAGCTAATTTGAACTTACACTCAACTCATTTGTATAACAAATTAGCAGAAGCGGAATCATGTTTTAAAAAAGCAGAGCATTTCATTTACAACCCTAACCAAAACTACACCCACGGGCTGCTACCCCCATAGGAGAGTAGGGTAGTGTTTGAAGGAACTTCATGATTAGGGATGGCAAAATCTCTAAATCAGGCGGGTCCCCACCCGCCCTGCCCTAAATAGGGTGGGTTTGGGAACCCTTTTATATAAATAGGGATGGAGATGTGGATAGTTTTTGAAACCATGGCGGAGGCAGGGATAGGGTAAACTCACCCCGCCCCGCCCGATTTAGGGTGTACATTTACTAAAACACTTTTATATATTACTAAATTAAATTAAGTATAGATAAACACACTTTTTTAACATACTTAAGAAAAATTATAACTTCTTGTGTTAAACCTTAGAATTTGAGAATGAGAGAAATTATGTGCTAAAAAAAAATTATAGTGTGAATTAATCGGTTATGGGAGCATGGGCGGGTATGAGAATTGTGGTGAAATTTTAAACCGGGTACACCGGGTATGGGTATGATCCCCCGCCCCATCCGTTCGGGAGCCTAGGAAGCCACGCCCAACAGCGTCCAGATAGAAATCAGAAAGGCCCCGTTTTCTTTAGGTTCGCTTTCTCTGAAACAATATTCTGTAGAGTGAAGAAGGGCATTGGTAATGGTTACCTAAAGCTTAATTAGGTCACTGGTAATGGTGACCTAATCTTGGAGGGGCTTAATTAGGTCACCAATGGTATCTTAGTAGCTTCAAAACTTCGGAGACTGTAAATGGAGGATTTTGTAATGATTTTGGCATTCTCCGATACCCCTTTAATAATATCCATAGCTCCAATTTTCTCTAACATCGGTGCAATGCAATGAAATCGCTGCACTCACTGTTCAAAAGACTGTCCTGTGTTTTTCCATAAATAGCTTACCTGCGGCCTCCATCCAGGCTGATGCACAGAGAATTCTCTTTCATCATTTGCAGTCAATAGGACTACGGAGAGGAGAGGAGTCTCTGCACCGTCAACAGATCATTGCGCGTGTGTTCGCGGTTGAAATTGTCTGTGACTGTGACTCTGATCATGTGTTTTGACTGCCCAGCAACCGTCGAAGTTCTCGAGAAAATGAGTTCGTTACCTCCAATCGTCGCCGCCGCCGGTGAAGAAGAGACAGGACATGGTCGTCGTCTATGTTCCAGTTACTATTATCACTGCGTAGCAGCTGATGTACTTTCATATTCTAAAGGAAGCCCTTCAATAGAATCAGTACCTCACGTCCACAATCTCACAAGGTTTTTTCTTTTTCCCTCTAATGTATTATTATTATTATTATTTTAAACTTTTTTTTTTTTGGAAAATTATTATTTTAAACTTTGTTACTCTGTATTGTTTTGTGTAAATGTAGTACAGAATGGTATTTACTCTCTCATGTTGATGTGCCCTCTGAAAATTACAACTCTTTTCACCTTATCTTATACTCTGTCTTGCAATAATAAAGATAAAAAAAAAAAAAAAAGGGTTGCATTACGAAAATTATATATAAGCATTACCAATCAATCAATAACTTAATGCTTTTAACCACTTCCTTTGTGTTGGAATTTTACATTTCTTTCAGGTAGGAACAACATTATTTTAACGGTGCGGTTGGGATGGCTGTTTAACCCACTTAGAAAAGTTTTTTTTTTTTCAAAAAAAAAAAAAAAAAATTGCTTTTAAAATTTGTTTGGTAAACAAAAAGGCACTTTTCTTTCTTTTATTTTTATTTTTTATTCATGATACAAATTTTGAATAAAGCTAAAATTTATTATATCTTTTAAAACTGCCTTCAGAGTTGTTATATTGTAGGTAGTTGTGTTTCGCCAGACAATTTTATTCATTTTTTATTTTTATAAAAACAATTTTATCCCTTTGTTTATAAAGTTCTATTATTATCAAATATAATAACACTCCATTAAAAGACATTATTGTAAAATTAGTTATAAAAGTGCTTTAAACAATATTTATTAAACAAATTAGAATGTACTTTAATTGTGAAAAGTACCTTATATGATTGACAGCTAACATGTTTTTATTACAAACTATTTTGTGACAGCTCTAGTGATAAAAACTTTTTTCATTACAACAGCACTGGCGCAATAAAAGAAGTACAAAAGTGCTTTAAATGATTGCTCTTTAGGTGGAAATCTTCCATGAATGGTTCTCTAGGTTCATATCACTGAAACAAGAATGGACATGTGGATAAATTAGAGTAACTATAAGAGGAGATGAAGTTGGAGTGGCTCCTACTAGTGATATAATAACAAAAAGAAAGCTTAGGTGGTATAAACATATAAAACGTAAACCAATAGATGTACCTATACAATATATGTGTATATATATGTATATATATATACACTCACACACATATATAAAGTTGTTGAAACAATAGGTTAGTGTCAATGAGGTACCAAAACTAATATGAGATGAAGTAACAAGGAAATATCTTTAAAAAATGGATATATGAAAATGCATAACTTGGTATAGGAAAGAATAGAAGGAGAAACACCCCATTTGATTGGAATCAATGCAAGGAAAGGAAGATGAGAATGTTTCACCCCATGCTTTTCTTTTTCATTCTATATTTTGTGCAATCGTCTCATGCTAATTAAAAGCAATTATTTGTAGTGAGAAACAAGGAGCAATCTTAGCCTAATCATACCTGATCTTCTTTGGAATATTGGAATTTGTATGTGAATTTCCTACTCATCGAGGAGACCACGTCTTAAGCAAAGATCATGATTGATTGAAATATTACAAGTCTTTTTTTATCTATTTGAAGCACTATGAAGATCACAGGAAACAAATGGTAGAATCCATTTGTTATGTCACCAATATCTAGAATCCACACGAGCACTATGAAGCTTGCTATCATTTCAAAAAAAAATTGATTTTCTGAAAATTCTGCATCCCAACTAATTATAGAGTTAGGGTGTTAAACTAAAGTAAAAAAAGTGGGGAAAAAGTTTAGGCTTGACGGGGTTGGGTGGAATAGAGTTGTGAGGTAGTTGTTCCAGCTTTGTAAATAGTGAGCTCCTATGAAGCACGAATAATTATCTAAGGGAGTGGTATATGTGTCGTATTTGTATTAGATGCCAATAGGCCCGATACTCCTCGAATACTCACTGGTAGGTGACATTCACATCTTAATGTATCCATAATTTGATTATTTTTTTTCCCTAATTTCAAACACGTATCTAGTACTTTTCAAATACCTGAAGACACGTCTTGACACATCGAAACTATAAAATACCACATTTTTGATATAGTAACATAAAAGCATGATGAGGGTTTCAAATACTTTGTCTTTCTCAGGTAAAATGAATTGAGATTTAATGAGAATGGTTCATGTCTTATTTTTTTTCGAAGTCCATGTCCATGCAACATAACTTATTATTTTTTCATGCCCTATTTACTATTATAAATTAGATATTCATATTGTTATTTATAATATATGTATATAACAAGACAAACTATTATAATTTTAGATCTATGCAGGGATATTTATATCTTGTATATTGAGAATTTGTTCATATTGCCTTAAGGTTATCATGTCGTTTCCATTTTGTGCATCCATGTTCGTGCTTTATAGGTACTCAGCTTTGAACATTACTTTGGTCTTCTCTCTCTCTCTCTCTCTTGAGGGTCACAAGGATTAAGCCTTTGATAATGGAAAAATTGTTCAAACTTTGACTAATGAGACCATTCTAGACCTACTAAAGCCTTAATAGACGCCAATAACATAAATTAATCCATTATACAACCAATGAATTGCTTACAGTCCATTGTCTAGCGAAAAATTGAAGAGGAGTTGGCTGATGATTTGAGGTCTACCCAACAGGTCTGTTCTAATGAGCTTCAACCTTGGTTAAAGGATGATTCTAACATATCAGTGGTAGAACCCCTGGCAGTGGTGAGACCTGATGATGAGGTTACTGATCTGGGGAGGGATTGGGTGGTTGATAACATTGGAGCTACTAGTGAGTTGTTAGGAGTATCTTCAGAAGCTAATAACGCTCAAACTTTATCTCTTCTTCAAGCAATTGTGACTAACTGAGATAGCAGTCACTAATGAAGTTATAAACACGAAGCCCATATCGTCTTGGGAAGGGATTCACGAGATTAAGAATCTCATCTCTGACGTCAACTACGATAAGAAGAAAGGCGTGGTGATGGAAAGGGGTAGGACTAGGAGCAGGAGTTTGAAGAAGGGGGGAGGGGAATTAATCTCAACTGGTTTTTAATGAAGCTACAAATCATTACATGGAATGTTCGTGGTCTCAATGACCCGAATAGAAGGAGGGTGGTGAAGGTAGCTTTAAGGAAATGGGGTCAGGTTGTTTGTTTGCAAGAAACCAAGATGGCATCCATTACTGACGGGGGGGTTAGAAGTTTGTGGGGAGGAAGGTTTGTGGAATGGGAGGCTTTTGATGCTATAGGTTCTTCGGGTGGTATTTTAGTTATGTGGGACAGTAGGTGGTTGTCCAAACTGAATGTGTGGAAGGAGAGATTTTCTGTTTCCTGTGAGTTTCAGATGGAAGAGGATAATTTTAGATGGGTCTTTTCTTGGTTTATGGATCGGTCATTGATATTGAGAAACCCATTTTATGGGAGGAACTAAGCCACGTTCAAGTTTTGTGCTCATCACCTTGGTGTTTGGGTGGGGATTTCAATTCAGTCAGGTTCCCGTCAGAGAGGTCTATTGGGGGAAGAAGGTCCATAGACATGGATCAGTTTTTTGACTTCATTGATGAGCACCTTCTCATTGATCTTCCAATGGAAGGTGCAACCTATACTTGGTCTAATGGTAGAGACCCAATTACTCTCTCAAGATTGGATAGATTTTTGATCTCTGGGGAGTGAGAAGAAAAATTCCCGGATGTTGTTCAGGCGGAATTAGAAAGGGTTACCTTCGATTATGTTCCTTTAGTTTTGGATTGTGGGGGTTTGTGTTCTTGGAAAACCCCATTCCGTTTTGAGAATATGTGGTTGAGAGTGGAGGACTTCCAAGGGACAGTTCGTTCATGGTGGGAGGGAGCGATCGTTACAGGTGCGCCCAGTTTCAGATTAACACAGAAATTAAGAGCTCTCAAACTCGCTTTTTAGCAGTGGAATAAGGATGTTTTTGGGAACCTTGAATGGAGAAAGAACAGAGTATTTGCTGATTTTTCTGAGATTGATCGACTAGAAGAGGCGGGTGGGAATGTGGAGTCTCTTTGTACTAGGAGAGCTTCCTGTCAGACAGTTCTTGCTGAGATTGCTTGTATGGAGGAGATTTCGTGGCGACAAAAATCCTGAGCTTTTTGGCTGAAAGAGGGAGACCGTAATACAAAATTTTTCCACAGACTTGCTAATGCCCATAGAAGGAGTAATCACATAGGACGTATTTAGGTAGAAGGCGTGGAGTTGTGGAGGGAGGAAGAGGTGCGTAGCGGGATCGTTTCTTTTTATCAGAAGCTTTATACAGAACCTTTAGGTTGGCGACCCAAGCTTGATGGTCTTCCTTTTGAGGCTATTTCTGAGATGGAGAGAGATGGGCTAGAGCTTCCTTTTACTGAAGAAGAAGTTCTAAAGGCCTTATCCAGTTGCAATGGGGATAAAGCCCCGGGGCTTGACGGGTTTACTATGCGTTTTTTACTGGAAAGTTGGGCGGTTGTGAGAAATGAAGTGATGAGTACCTTTCAGGAGTTTCATTCTACAGGTGTATTTGAGAAATCGCTTAATACATCATTTATTGCCCTCATCCCTAAGAAGGGAAACTCTTCAGATATTAAGGATTTTCGTCCTATTAGCTTAGTGGGTTGTATTTACAAACTCATAGCTAAGGTGCTTGCTCAAAAAATGCGAGAAGTTATGGATGGGATTATTTCAGATTCTCAGAATGCCTTTGTTGGAGGAAGGCAAATTCTTGATTCAGTTCTTATCGTCGGTGAATGTGTGGATTCAAGGTTGCGTAATGGTGTTCTTGGAGTTCTGTGTAAACTTGATATTGAGAAAGCTTATGATCATGTAAATTGGAATTTCCTTCTCTATTTGCTTCAAAGAATGGGGTTTGGAAGTAGATGGAGGACATGGATTAAGACATGTCTTTCGTCTGTTAAGTTCTCAGTTCTTGTGAATGGTTGTCCAGCCGGTTTTTTGGATGCTCTCGGGGTATAAGACAAGGTTATCCATTGTCATCTTTTCTTTTTCTTATTGTTATGGAGGGATTAAGCAGACTTATGCGCCGGGCAGGGAATCTTGGTCTCATCAAAGG